CAGGGATGGACATCTTACGAACGGGAAGCGAGTCGATAGATTCATTCGATGCCAAGTCTTACGAACATCGTATCGAATGCCAAGCGTTCGATTCGATGTCGAGTCTGTCACGGACTCATTCGGTTCGCAACGAATCTACCACTTGTGCGCTCCATTCGCATCGAATGGCGTGGCTCCTCAGCTCTCGATTGGTTCGATCGAGTCGATCGATCTGGGGGCGCATAGGCTGTATGTTTTATCCGTATATGATGCGTAATCCCAATTTAAACGCGGTGTCGCGTAAAGACGCGGCAGAGCGCGACAGGAACCGTGTTATACCTCCGGAACCACTGAGGCGTTGACGTCATTGTATATTAATGTTAAGTCAGCCTACGGCTGAATTAAGGTAGTAAGTACATGTAGTTCGTTGTAAAATGTAAGCATCAGAACGTAGAATTTATCTGTAACGGGCTCAGTGTCCACTCTCACCTTCAGCGCAGGCCCAGCCTAAGTGGGGTCCCTAACAACGGTCTACAGAGCTCTACTCACCAGCATATCCTTTTCTTTATACCAAACTTATCCTAATTGCCTAACTATCTGCCAATATACTCAGCTCGGACAGTTACAACGATAGGCCCAAATTAGACCCCGTATCAGTATTGGTGGCAATACTGTTTATACCCCGTAACGATACACGGGCCGTGACCGGGGCACGTTGAGGGCCTATGGATACATCTGATGTTATGAAATACCAGGGCCACCATGTAGAGGAGGGGGGATTGTCGGGTAGCCTCTAACATCCCCTACCGCCCAAGTATAGGGTAGGCTCACTGCGACGCGACAATTTCCAGCATGCCGGGCAATCATAGCAGTATCAAATGATTGCAAGCCAATGTACGTCACGTATTATGTTGCCCTAGCTATCTAGTTCTCTCTAGGGAGCCGTTGTCCGAGCTGATTTGGCATGAGGGCTTGCATCGCTTTGATTTGAAGGTTACCTACATAGGTTTTCGGCTTCTCTTCATCATTTGTCACTGGTACCAAGAACCAAACCCGCTTCACCTACAACTCAAAGTGTTAGCGACCTCATCCCATTGCTGCATTGTCATGATGCCAGATTTTGGAGTCCCAAATGTCTCTTTTCCATCTCACTGGCGTTAGATAACAAACGGGCTCAAGAGTCCCTCAAAAGTCCACGTGGAGATGAAACTGCAGAGAGTGGCGCCTGCCCAATAGGGGCACTTGCCGCGAGATGAGACAAGGAATATATGGAACGTGGCTTGCTGCACGCCAGCAGTCTTGGGGGCAACGGTGCTTCCTGTACCAATGACCGGGACTGGAGTACAATGCTTCTTTACTCGTCATCTTCACCCGCGTCAACTGAACGCGCCAGCCAGCAATCAACTGACCGCCGGCTACTGCTCGTTGGGTCCAGGATGTATCAACTCCGACGACACTGGTAATTCACGCGTACGTTGCGTTGACTGCACCATGATGNGCGCGAATATCGCGTCTCGTTACCTACCCGTGCCCATCAGGCGACGGACTGATTTAAGCCCATTGCCAGCGCAGCAGCAGCCGCAGCTGACATGGCTTCCAAAAAAGCTCGGCAAAATCCTTACCTTATGACCGATCTACACGACTAATCACCTGAACCACGATGTTCTCGGGGCCTTCTTCTTTCAGTCCTTCGCCATTGAGCCAACTTGACGAGTCGCCGCCAT